GCCTGTTATTTTTCTAGGGGCCTCCTATTTGCCCAAGAGGGCTCCTATTTGTCCAGCGGGCCTCCTACTTATTCAGGGAGCCTCCTATTTTTCCAGGTGACCTCCTATTGGTTAAAGTAGCCTCCTATTTTCCAAGCGGCCTCCTATTTATCCAGAGGGCTCCTATTTTAGGGGGCCTCCTCTTTATCCAGGGGGCCTCCTATTTATCCAGGGTCCTTCTATTCATAAAGGGGGCCTCTTATTTGTCCAGGGGGGTCTCCTAATTGTCCAAGGGGTCTCCTTTTGTGAAAGGGGGCCTCCTATTTGTCCAGGGGGCTCCTATATTGTCCAGAGGGCCTCCTTTTGTGAAAGGGGCCTCCTGTTTGTCTAGTTCTAGGGCCTCCTGTTTGTTCATAGGGCCTCCTATTTTTCCAAGGGGCCTCCTAGTTGCAGAGGGCCTCCTACTTGCCCATGGGGCCTCCTATTTGTTCGGGGGGCTTTTTATTTGTACAGAGGGCCTTCTATTTGTCTAGGGCCTCCTATTTGTTCAGGAGGCCTCCTGCTTGTCCAGAGAGCCTCCCTATTTCTCCAGGGGCCTCCTATTTATCCAGGGGGCCTCCTGTTTTCCGGGGGGCCTCCTACTTGTTCAGGGGGCCTCCTATTTGTCCAGGGGGCCTCCTATTTGTCCAGAGGGCCTCCCATTTGTCCAACAGGGCCTCCGATTTGTCCAAAGGACCTCCTTTTTATACAGAGAACCTTCTATATGAACATCGGACCTCCATTTGTAAAGTAGCTGGTGCGTCTCAGGGGCCTCCACTATTGGGGTCCCAAAATGACAATTGGGGTCCCGAATGTTCGCATTGGGGTCCCACATGGGACCTCAAAAGTATACAAAGTTACACCCATGATATTGCGCATCATAACAATGTATTTCCAAACGAAAAAAGTAGCTGTTCAAACAAACTACTTTTGTATCAATGGGGGACGTACCGGCTGGGAACGGCTGGGGACGTAACGGCTGGGGACGTACCGGCTGGGGACGTACCGGCTGGGGTCGTCAGATTTCCCGGGTGTCTCGGAGGCGATCTCGTCTACGACGTGTCATCACGGCCCCACCCCGTGCCGTGCTGCCACCACACCACCGAACGCCTCTGACCAGCCCTAAGGTGTCGGCGGGTGTGCTTCTTTTCTACGGCCATTTTCCAGCGGCCGGCCGGAGCCAGTCGCGGGAGGCGCTGCTGATTGGTCCGTGCGTAACGCGCGTGCCGCAGAGGCGTCTGCTGATTGGTCTGTGCGTGGCGCGCGTGCCGCAGAAGCGTCTGTTGATTGGTCTGTGCGTGGCGCGCGTGCCGCAGAGGCGTCTGCTGATTGGTCTGTGCGTGGCGCGCGAGCCGCAGAAGCGTCTGCTGATTGGCCAGCTGCCTGGGCCGCGCCGTCTTCTGCCTCTTTGGCCGGGACGCTCCACCTCCTGGTCAGTGGACGTGGCGCCGGCCGAGCGTAGCCGCAGGACCAGTGGCGGCTTCTGGTCCTATCTGTCCGAATAGTTTTGAGACACCAATCCGTGATTTTGTTAGAAAATCACACTACTTTGTTTATAAGAATTACTTTTTACTACAACAAAAAAGAGTAATTTTCGCATCATTCATTTTCGCTGACGATAGGCAGGCGGGGAGAAAAGTCCATGAATAATTTGTTACTTTTTATTTATATTCTCATAGCTATGCTCTTTGCGAGGACGCTAAGAAGGATACATAACTAATAAATTGGCGTTCATGAAATGTATACGGCTGTTCAGTATTGACATAGCACCAATAAAAGTATATGCACAATCTAGGTGGATAATTGTCATAATACCAGGGGGTGCTTTTCCAGCACCTGGCGAGAAGCAGAGTCAAATTATTGCGCATTAAAGCACATATAAGCACGCTTTTCAACAACATAACTATCCTCGCGACTCACGCATTACGCAAAACAGCTTGTGTCTCAGATGAAATGCAAGCAACCATTGGAGCATTATTACGTGGTAACCTTTCAATTTCAGGGGCGTGCTCGAGCACCCCCAAAACCCCTAATTTTCCACCCAGCTGATATGCACAGATATGCCATTTATTCATGACTCTTCTAAGGGAAGGCGTATCTTCAGAGGCTGCATTTTATTGTCCTTGGGACCCACCCATATTACAACAAATCGAGTATTACATAAGCATAGACGTGCTTCAAATTGCAGTCTCATACCACAACTGCAATGTGTATCGTTATGCCACAGGCAATGCAGTGGTCATGTCAACTACGATCAGACGTAGCCGGTGAGTCCATCTACCGCTCGCTAAGCCTGTTGTATGTGAGTGAGTGGTCAGTACGGGGAGGCCGATGGCACGCCGCCGCCGGCCCGGCCTGACCAGTGGAGCGTCTGGCTATCGTCCAGCCGTGCACGGTGTGTTCCGTTTCCGGCGGGCTGAGTCCCTCGGCCGGGCCGGGCCGGCCGTGGCGCGTCTCGCTGTGGCCGTCTGTCCGATCGGCCGCGTCCCCCTCACCGACCCCTCCGGCAGAGACGGGTCCGTCTGGCGAGACGTTCCGAGCGGTGTGTCCATGTGGAGTGAATGCACTGCTAGCCACTGCAGCTGTTTGGTGTCCGGCTGCCGGAATAGAGTGTCGGAGCGGCGGCAGAGGAGTGACGGCAGCTGTTTGTGGTGGATTCTGACGGAGCTGACCACCGGCACAATAAGACTGCAGCGGCACCAGCCACGGGGAGGGGGCTGCAGCTGGGAGTGTCACCGGACCGCTCTCCGTGCCGGCAGCTGACACTGACCGGGGGCCGGTCTGACACTGTCAGGGGCTGCGGTGTCAGTGTGTCAGTTCAGCTGACAGTCGGAGCACCAGCAGCTGGACACAGCTGACACTGTATATATATAGACCACTGTCACTCGGACACTGACACGGACTGGGACGGCACGACGGTGTGACGTCACACTGGCCTCCAACACGGCCTCCAACAGCTGCACCCGGCTGTGGGCACGGACACACCGGCTGCAGCCAGTAACGCTCGCCGCTGTGCTGGAGCCGCCCGCTGGCCACAGCAGGGACGGGGGCTGACAATCGTCCCGCACTGCAACGGAAAGGCCACACGACGGCAACGGGGGTGACTGCTGTGGTGGGATTTTCCGATAAATACGGGAATGGTTGTGAGCTCGGTATTGTTTTGTGTGTATTGGACGAGAGGTCATAGGTTGATTTTGACAGTGCGTTGATGGACAGGCGAGGGTGATTAGTTGGTTTTGTGAGTGCGTTGATGGACAGACGAGGGTGATTAGTTGATTTTGTGAGTGTGTTGATGGACAGTCGAGGTCACGTGGTTGACAGCGAGACAAGCCGGCTGCTGGATGTGCTGTGACAGTGTGTCGGTGCTTGTTGTCGGTGTCTGGTGGTGCAGCTGGCGGCGGCCCGCTGCCATACGGGAGCGGTCGGTCGGCAGGCCGCTCGGCGGCTCGTCCAGCCGGTAGTTGGTGTCAGATCTCTGAGGCCGGTGTGTCAGAGCCGGTGAGCCCGGTCAGGGCACGGCCGGAGCACGGCCACGGCCCCGGCGGCGGCACGGCGTGCTTGTCAGTGGGCCGGCCGTGACCTGGCGGTGACCGGTCGGTCTGTCTGCCGACCGACCACCGGTCGAGCCCCGACCGACCACTGGGACGGCACCTATAAGCGTAGGAACCATGGGTGCCGTGGGTGCCCTGGGTGCCGTGTATAGCCCCAGAACACGCCACGGGTGTCTCCCGAGCCGTGTGTGTCTCCGAGTCGGTAGTGTGTCCAGCCGGTGTTGGACAAGTGCCGCCGGCCGGCCGTGGCGGCTGGAATGGAGAGCCGGGCACGGGCCGGCCGGCTCATCCGCCGGCGGTGGGAGGCCCGGTGTCAGCTGTGGGTCACACACCAGCACCGAACACTGCAGTTGTGAGGGGGACGGGTGCAGGCCATACAACACACACAGAACTGCAACAGGAAACTACTTACATGACACCAGTCAGAGTGGCCAAAACACATGTGAAATGTGCAGGAATCTCAGAAAAGGTATATGTGTGATCTGATCCCACGTAGTTATCCTGATCTTGGATCCGATGGGATCCTAGATCCAGTCAAATGTCTCGAGACGGCAGCTGATTTACCAGAGGCGGCTCTCAGACCTGATCCCAAATGACGGCGGGTAAAACAGTGTGTCGTATACAGGTTATCGTCCGCCCGGCACCGGGGAAGGCGGTGAAATACGGCGAGTGGCGATCCAGCCAGTCAGTGTGTGGCCGCCGGTTAACGGTGAACTCCCACGCTGGGCCCGTATTATAGATATATACGACACCTGTTGATGATGTGCACGGAACAGAAGGACCAGGCCTCGACGGCCGACGGTGTGCTCTGGAGCCGGGACCGCAGCTCGGCAGGTCACAGCAGCGGCGGCACAGCGGCGCAGAAACATCCCCCCCCCCTCTGGTGGAGCCAAACTGTACTCAGGTCACCAGGACATTAGCACAGATGATGAGGTAAGCTCCGAAGGTAGCGGTTTTCCAGGACAAAGACTGGACATGTGTAAAATGTATTAGTCAAAGCGCAGCCGATTATCAGTATCATGGCCAAGTGATAACTAAAATCTAAAAAGCCGTTCCGGAGTCGGAGTCAAGGCAGCTTGATCGACACGGACTCCGACTCCGACTCCCAGTCGGTCGGTAGCCCAATTACCCCCCTGTACGAAGCAGAGGACACAAAACATGGCGGCGCACACCCGGGCCGTGACGGCGTGCTTCCGTGAACCGAGTCGGACAGACGCGAGGACACTCGTTATGACCGGTGCCGTCAGAGCTCTACACAATTCAGTAGCATCAAGCTGACTATATCCGACCGTTGGATAGCCGGCTATATCATACCCAGGGTTACATTATCCACAATACCCGACCGGTAATTACCCACTTCATCGCATCACTGCATCCAATTACACACAATACTCGCCCGGTAACTAATTGCCCCAGGTTACATGGTACAGCTGAAGCGTCTCATCTCGTGTATTTAATAGACATCTGACTGACCAATCTGACTGACAAATCAGCTGACTGACCAATGGTCAGCTGACTGACCAATCAGCTGACGGACCAATCAGCTGACGGACCGGTCCCCGCCCCGGGCCGGGTGACGGCCGCCGGCCGGGACCGGAGCGGGCGGGCGCGGCGCGGCCGGCCGCCGTCTGAACTGGCACCGTGTGTATACTGCCAGCTCGGACGGCAGCTAGCCAGTAGTCGAGTAGAGCTCTCCGTGTGGGACGTGTCACAACACGCTCAGCACGGCGCTCAGCACCGCCGAGCCGAGGTGCAGTCAGACCCGGGGGGAGCGGTCACGTGACCGAGCCGTCCGACTCCACCGGGGGACGGTCACGTGACCGAGGCCGGCCGTGCCGCCGGGACCAGGCGCGGTGAACCGAGTCGGACGGTCAGAGACGTGTGTTCTACATACAGAATAGCGTAATGCCACGATCGGTAGTCTCTTCAGCACATCACTTTTCACTGTCCCATTACCCACATAACCCGCCCGGTAATTACCCACTTCATCACATCTCACTGTCCAGTTACCCACAATACCCGTCCGGTAATTACCCACTTCATCACATCTCCCGTCCAATTACCCACAATACCCGCCCGGCAATTACCCACTACATCACATCTTCCGTTCAATTACCCACAATACCCACCCGGTAACTACCCACTACGTCACATCTCCCGTGCAATTACCCACAATACCCGCCCGGTAAGTACCCACTACATCACATCCGTGTGCTACTACTACATCTACACTACTACTACTACAACTAGATCACTACACTAGAGCGGACACGGGGGCCGTGTGCCGGCTGACCGGCGCCGCTCTCAGTGCCGGCTGGTGCAGCACACACGGCAGCAGTCAGCTGGCGGCCCCGGCCGACTGGCTCGGCCTCTCTGCAGTCAGCTCATCACTGCACGGTCGGTAGTGCAGCGCATCAATACTTCCACTCCCACACTTTGACCCAACGGCCTTCCTGGCTCTTCAGCTGACGGCACAGCTCCCCTGTGGACAGAGCAGAGACACGTCTGAGGTGGACACGTCACACACAGACAGACACACAGACAGCGGTACAGCCATGTCCACACACCGCCGGCCAGTGACGTCACACACAGGACAGACGGCTGACGTGACGTCACCGTCGGCCGTGGTGGCCGTGACGCGTCACGTCACTGTCCGTGACGTGGCCTGCGGCGGTGGTCGAGTGTGTGTGTCTGAGAGGCCGGTGGCGCCGTGCAGCGTCTGTTGTGAGGGACTGACTGGTCAGAGGCGCGGCGCGCGGCGCCCTCTCACCTACCGGGGACACTGAGATAGATGGTACGGCGCTCGCCATCACTGTCCCGGCCCAGGTCCGCCTCCTTCAGGGCGGTCAGCACGGCCCGGGTGGTGTCTGCCGTGCAGTGAAGGTACAGATACTGCAGCTGCCGACACGACTTCACCAGTCTGTAACAGAGCAGAGTAGCAGAGCCGTCACACACAAACACAGCGGCACCAGCCGGCCGGACGTACGAGTCAGTGTCAGTGTCAGTAGTTCAGTGTCGGTGTGTTGGTGTCAGTGACAATGTGTCAGTGTCAGTGTGTCAGTGTCAGTGTCAGTAGTTCAGTGTCAGTGTGTTGGTGTCAGTGTGTCAGTGTCATTGCGTCAGTGTCATTGTGTCAGTGTCAGTTTTTCAGCGTCAGTGTGTCAGTGTCAGTGTGTCATGATCAGTGTGTCAGTGTCAGTGTGTCACTGTGCCAGTGTCAGTGTGTCACTGTGTCAGTGTCATTGTATCAGTTTCAGTGTGTTAGTGTCAGTGTGTCAGTGTCAGTGTGTCAGTATCAGTGTGTCAGTGTCAGTGTGTCAGTGTGTCAGTGTCAGTGTGTCAGTGTCAGTGTGTCAGTGTCAGTGTGTCAGTGTGTCAGTGTGTCAGTGTGTCAGTGTGTCAGTGTGTCAGTGTCAGTGTGTGACAGGACACCCCTCGCCAGTGTCTGCTGACTGACCTGGTGTACGCTGCTGCTGTGAAGGCCGTCTCTGCCGGCCGCTGGCGGTCCCCCAGTGTAAGGCACCACAGCCCGGGGCAGCCGCTGAGACTGTCCAGCACGGAGTCAGGGACGCCGCCGGACAGGGTGAGATACCGCAGCTCAGGGCACCTGGTGAGGGGCTTCAGGCTCACGGCGTCAGGGACGCCGCCGGACAGGGTGAGTTCCCGCAGCACAGGGCACCTGGTGAGGGGCTCCAGGCTCACGGTGTCAGGGACGCCGCCGGACAGGGTGAGACCCCGCAGCTCACGGCACCTGGTGAGGGGCTCCAGGCTCACGGTGTCAGTGACGCCGCCGGACAGGGTGAGACCCCGCAGCCCATGGCACCTGGCGAGGGGCTCCAGGCTGCCGGCCGTGAGATCAGAACAGTCTGGAAAACACACAGACACACATACAGACAGGATCAGTTGGCAGAAATATATGTCAATATATGGAAAAAACGAAACATCAAACAGCTATCAATTCGCATGGTTTTATGGACACCGTAAGCCATGATATAACAGTGGTACTATATGATATGCCATATAAACATGAATGAATGTGATAACATGAATGAATGAACATGATAACATGAATGTTCATGTTATCTATGGATATGCAATCAGTTCAGCCAATGCATTGAAGTGCATTGAACATTGCATTACAATCGCAATATGTTGTTCAACTAACTATGAGGGAATATGTCACTGACTGAACAGTTCTCCATTTTGGAGCTCAATTGGCTTCATTGTTTCACAAAGCACATTGGCTATGTATCACACCTGTCTCCATAAGGTCCGACAACGGCACACCGTTACTCGGTGTCCGCCATTCGCTGATCTCGTACATATCAGCTGCCTGTCCGTGCTGCCGCTGCTCACCGTATATCTCCAGTCGTGTGACCGTCCGTCCCAGATCAGCCAGGTGACTGATGGTGTCGGCAGCCACCCCCTGGAGCGACACTGACAGAACGTCAACCCAGTACCGTTTCGGCCACCTCGGCTCCGTCACCTCCGGCCCTGTCGGACAGAGCTGTGTCAGCTGACTGCAGTCGGACAGAGCTGCCGCCAGCTCCCCGCTGCACCACTGACACCAGAGTGTCAGACACTGACACAGCCTACACTGACACAGCCGAGCGGCCGCACAGCAATTTTAGCACCAACAGTCATATGTAGAATGTGAATATGAACATAATAAGTAAATGCGATCAGGGCCTCGGCTAACATTTTAACTACTGGGGCAAATGCCCCAGTAGCGTCAAGGAATGCTCCAGTAGTGGTCAGATTTTGCCCAACCTCCACAAAATAAGAATATATCAATATTAACGTACATAGGTACATTCTTTCACTCGGGAGCGGTAGAACACGTTTGTGGCAAGAAACCAGGGGCGGTGGAAGAGGGATGCATGGTGAGCAGCTGCACCCTCAATTTCCAATTTCCATCCAAAAACATAGGCGTGCATTGCATTTACAAACATATCTTATTGCACTTCCATAACCCTTGCTTGTATAGGGGGGTCGAACGGACCCCCCCCCCCCCCGATTTTCGCAAACAACTCGCGTAGAAAGCGGCCGATGAAGACGAAACTTTCAGTACCTTCGTGATAATTAATTTTACCCCTACCCTGAAAATTTAACCCGCGCGGGGCTGTGGTCTCCAGCTAAACGCGCGGGGCTGGGGGGGGGGTAAATTGTACCCCCCCCCCTGTTATCTCCCGAACTAATGGTCCGATTTGAAAAATTCAAACGCCAATCGAAAGATCTCATCACGAACAACTAAAAACATGTACTTAATTTTAAGTTTGAGTTCAAGGTCAAGGTCAGGTCAAGGGTACAAATTGCAAGTTCCTACAGTATCGGCCTTGCACCATATAGTTGCCGAAGAATGGAGTCATGGACTGAGACTGATCGCCCAAAACGTGTTCTTAGGCTACCAAGACAATATTCGTTGCATAAAATATCATTCAGAGGTCAAGGTCAAGGTCAGGTCAGGTCAGGTCAGGTCACCAAAAAACAAAATATAGAAAAGGGCATGTGCGACACATGTTTTATGGGTCATTTTACTCATAGAATTCAATAGGCACACTCAATAAGTGATATGGACCACCTCTGGATGAATTTCAGATCGAGGTCAGGTCAAGGTCAGGTCAAGTGAGGTCAAATTTTGAAGTTGGTTGTTAAGGCCTAAAAAGGTGTCTATCTGATGCAGTTTTTCACAGCGAGTCGAATGGTGCTATTTTTGTTTCCGTACGAGGTCTAGAACTTCCAAAAAAAAAACATTTTTCAAAATTTTTGTGTGTCGTGACGTCATACAATTTTGAATAACTCCCACATTTTTGAACCGATTCTTCTAAAACTTGGTATGTAGGTGCACATAGACCACTTCTCTGACATATATTCCGGTTTTTTCGATACACTCAAAATTTTGGATTTTATAGCTATTTTCCCAAAAAAAGTCAGTTTTTTGAAAAAAAAAATTGGGCCAAAATCCAAAATTTTCAAAAAACCGAGATAGCCATTTGATAGACAAAGTAGAATTACGTATATCCTTTTTGTTACGTCTTGATTCCTTTAAAAATGAAGATGTTAGCGGCGTTTGAACTTTTGCCGTTTTTGAGGCGAAAATGGCGAACATGACGTCACTAAAACGTCAATTTCTCAAAAAAATTCCGACGGATTTCGCTCAAATTTTCAGGGAACGTGTCAAATTGATGTAAGAAAAGGTGCTGAAAGTTTGGCGGCGCTGCGCGCCGTCGTTTTTGAGATATTGCAAAAATTCGCGAGGGGGTAAAATTTACCCCCCCCCCCAGCCCCGCGCGGGTTAATGACCCTGACCTTTAGACCTTTGACCTGTGACCTACTTTTCGAGACCATGTTTGGCCGGAATCGCGATTCAGTATGTCGGCTCGCATTATCCGCACGTTTGCAGTCTCTTCGTGGTTTCAAGCGTTCAAACATGGGATTTGATGTTGCTCCCATGCATTAGGGTCAAGGGTGGGTGTCAAGGTCACCGGAAGGTCAGGTCAAGTCACTTACTTTTAATGACCTTGGTTTACTTTTTCGAGTTTTACATGTTTCTAGGCGAGTTTTTCGAGCTTAATTCGAATTTAGCAACCATTTGAAAATTTAAGATGTAGTTTTGGTGCCTTCGTAACATGTTACGAAGCTGTAAGGGCGGTTGCCACCTACTACCTACGAATAGGGGAGAGTGGGGTAATTTGGCCGGTGGTGTAAATTGGCCGCCCCCACCTGTACGAAAGCTCATAAAAGTGAATGAAATAACTTTAGTCTCTATTCATTTGTCATCGGCAGAACTAACTCGAGAACAAATGTCAAAACTTTCCCCCTCTTAGTTTTATTCAAAATTAATAAAAGGTGAATTACGTTAGAAAATGGTAACTTTTACTTCCGTTTAAAAATTTGTGTAACATGTAGTATTTGGTCTGTAAACGAATTCCAACATTATAGCGCCATTTTTGAGGGTGTTCAGTGGTTCCAAGAGCAATTTCATCTAGTTCTGTACAGCCATGACGACTTTATAGACAAAAAAATTCAGAATGGCAATGTGGGGTTATTTGGCCGGGCCTAGCGGGGCAACTTGGCCGGTGCGCTCAGAGTCACTATGCTGGGTCGGCCGAGTTGTCATGGTCAATTATACCATAAAGGACATAATTCATGACCAACTTTGACTACCTTGATGCCATATTTCCTATTGGACAGCTGTAAGGGCATGTGACGTCACCAAAGGTTACCTAACACTTTTTTGCTAATAAATACTTACAGAAAAAAGATACAGCCGCGCAAATGGTCTCATTGTGTTCAGCTCGTCAAGGCGCATCGAATGATATGCATGATGACCTTGAACTCACGTAACCTTGAGGTCAAGCGACCTGAGGTAACGTGACCTGAAGCCAACCATGACCTTGACCTTAACCTTGACCTCTCGAGGTCAACACATACATGTTTCGATGCGGAATGACGAAAGAATTACGATGGTACTTTTAGTTTTGGCCTAACTTGATTACTTCAAAAGTTATTCGTAAAAAAAACTGTCATCGCATCTAGAGCCGCTATTTTGACTATTTTCGACCCCTGTGACGGCTGAGTCCACCTCCAAAATGCTTCAAATGCGTCGTAGGACACGCGTCATTGCTGAATGTGAAGCTGACTCGCCTATAACAAAAATCATGGCCTCAAACTAACACCGGCCAAATTGCCCCACACCCCCGGCCAAATAACCCTGCTAGTGGGGTAATTTGGCCGCTTTGCAGACCTTTGTAATACGCCACAATTTCAATATATGTAGTTACTCAATCATTTTAAGTTTACAGTCCAAGAAAGTAGAATGTATGCCACACCTGTCAGCGTTGAGAAAATGCAGAAATGTGTTGTCGATTTTTAGTTACATCGTTTTCTAAAAAAAGCGGCCAAATTACCCCACTCTCCCCTACCCGGCAAAACCCTTACTGGTTGACCTGACCCAACCTGGCCTAAATACACGAAGACATCATCTATGATGATAACTAACATTATATTCAAGGGCGGATCTAGGGGAACGTTTTGGGGGGGTCACAAGTCGGCCGACATGCCGGGTCTGATGGATGAATTCTGACGACCGGGGGGGGGGGGGTAGGGAGCGAGTATGTCGAGATCAAATGACATTTGATCTTCGTCGTTTCTAAGATGCAGTTTTATCGTTGTAAGTCACTCGGCTAAGTAGTTTTAGTTAGTGAAACCCACCTATACAGGGGAGTCGCCACGGATTTTTTACTGGGAGGGGGGGGAGGCGGATCGACCGACTTAAAAACCCAGAAGTAGATATAGTTACCTCACTTTTAGCCTTATGCATTGGTAGCATACAGTCACGATCTCTCTTATTGACCTGTGTAAGAGCCGGCGGCGCGAAGCGCCGCGAAAATTTGCAAAAAAAAAGTGTCAAAACACAGTTTTAAAACACAAATATTACCTACAACCCTTTTAGCATGCTAGTACAAGCCGGAGTTCCTTCACAGTACACATATGCATTCCGATTCAATTTGACACGGTTGGTGATACCTATTACAGTCGATCTCTCATTGATTGGTGTATGAATCGGCGGCGCGAAGCGCCGAGAAAACTTGCAAATGCTTTTGTCAAAATGCAGCTCCAAAACACAAATTTACCACCCTTTTAGCATGGCAGTACAAGCCGGAGTTCCTTCACAGTACACATGAGTTCTGATTCAATTTGATACGGTTGGTTGGTGTAATGACAGGTCACAGTCACGATTTCGTATTGATCTGTACGTACATAAATCGGCGGCGCGAAGCGCCGCGAAAATTTGCAAAAACATTTGTCAAAACACAGAGGGGGCTTCCTCTCTACAGAGCAGGGTTGTGCTTGACTCATGAGTCGAGTCAGAAATTTGACTCAACTCTGACTCAAATGAGTCAGATTTGAGTCGAGTCGGATAAAATATTGAGCTGTTGGGTTGAGTTAGAGTTGAGTCGGACAAAAGTATTAAGGCGTTGAGTTGAGTCAGAGTTGAGTCAGTAAAATAACTTTTGACATTGAGTTGAGTCAAACATTTAGGAACATGAGTCAGCTGACTCAACTTTCTAGAAACAAGCTTTTCATCCCTCCCCCCACTTAACAACTTCGCCCTGGCCCTGCTGCCGGATTTTTTTTTTCACCCCCACCCCCGCTCAACAGCTTTTTTATCTGAGTCAATTTTGAGTCAACTCACTTGACTCAACAAAAAATTTGAGTCATGTTTGAGTCGACTCATATTTTCATTGAGCCGCTTGAGTCATGAGTCGAGTCAAGGGAAAAAATCAGCTCCTTGTTTGAGCCAGAGTTGAGTCAGGGCTTTCTGAAGTTGAATGATGAGTCGAGTCGGCAATTTTTTTTAGTCGAGCACAACCCTGCTACAGAGGACCACCTCTCTACTGCGAGCCTCCTCTTTTCACAGGGCTTTTCAACTACAGAAGGCGTCCTCTCTACAGAGGGCTTCCTCTCTACTGAGGGTCTCTCCCTTTCAG